GAGAAAGAATATCATTTTGAAAACACTAGTGTGTAGTACTCGAATTATTATTCCGTGAATAATAAAAAAATATAATTAAACATTCGACGGACGTCTCAATACAATAAAATTTGAAACAAAATGTAATTTCCAATGCCATGACGATCTTGCACATTCTGGAGCTGTAATTAAAAAAAAAAATTATTTGTATAACAGAAAAAAAAGACCACTGAAAGAAAGTATGAGGCAATAGAAATTCCCGGGGCCGGGATAAACGTTTCAGGGTTAAATGAGGAGATGAGGCAGGGATAAACGTTTCAGAATTGAATGGTGGTTGAGGCTGGGACGATCGCGACAGGGAAAACTGAGGAAATGAGGAAGGGATGAACGTTTCAGGGTAAAATGAGGGGATGGGGCAGGGATAAACGTTTCGGGGTTAAATGAGGGGATGAGGAAGGGATGAACATTTCAGAATTAAATGGGGGTTGAGGCTGGGACGATCGCGACAGAGGAAAATGAGGGGATGGGGCTGGGATAAACGTTGCAGCGATTAATGGGGGTTGAGGCTGGGACGAGCGCGACAGGGTAAAATGAGGAGATGGGGCAGGGATGAACATTTGAAAATTAAATCGGGGTTGAGGCTGGGATGATTGCGACACAGTTAAATGAGGAGATGGGGCAGGGATGAATGTTTGAGAGTTAAATGGGAGCATGTGGCAGGGATGAACATTTGAGAACTAAATTGGGGTTGAGGCTGGGACGAAGGCGGCAGGGTAAAATCAGGAGATGGGGCCGGGATGAACGTTTGAGAATTAAATGGGAGTTGAGGCTGGGATGAACGCGGCAGGGTTAGATGAGGAGATGGGGCAGGGATAAACGTTTCCGGGTTTGATGGGGGGATGGGGCAGGGATAAACGTTTCAGGTCTTAATGGGGGTTGAGGCTGGGACGAGTGCGACAGGGTAAAATGAGGAGATGGGGCAGGGATAAACGTTTCAGAATTAAATGGTGGTTGAGGCTGGGACGATCGCGACAGGGAAAAATGAGGAGATGAGGAAGGGATGAACGTTTCA